CACCCTCCCCCCCTTACTCTCCTTCCCCAGTTTAATTACCTGGCTCTAATAAGGCTTTGTTTTGTTTTTCAGTGACCGGACTGTGAGGATCTGGAAAGCTCGAAATATAATAGATGGGCAGATCTCAGATACAGGAGATGCAAGTGAAGATCTTGCCAGTAATTGAAAGGATGGGGATAAATTAATATATTGATGAATTTGAGGTGCACTCTATGCAGTTTGCTGCATGCTTATTAGGTAAACACTGATGACTGGAATGAACTGACAAGTGAGAGTGAACTGTTCTACTAGACCTGCTGTCCTTAAAATGTGTACTGTATTTAAGAAAAAAATAACCTCTCGGTAACATGCTTGTGTCTCAGTGGTCACATATATGTCTATATATTATGGCTGAATTTGTGTGCGTATGTAACACTTGCAGTTTAACTGGAAATCAGTCTTCTCTAATGACCATCTCAAAATTATAACTTGAATTATATTATAACAGAAGTGCTCTGCTGTATTTCACTCACAAGTACAATCAGCTGTTTTGAATTTTAGGGTAGCAGGGGAATGATGATGCCCCAGTAATAAGCCTTTGATTATGACAGGCAGTTTCAAGATTCTAAAGGTCACTTACGCTGTTGTTAGGAAAGTGGAGTGAATAAAAGATGGGAAGAAGCTGTTAATGACACGTCTACCTGACATGGCTGTATCCCGCTAACAGCGAATGCCGTATGATTTGTGTTAATGTTAGCATATAATCCTTGTTGACCAAAGTTGTGCAGCTATGTATACTCTGTGCTCAGGACTAGAACTCAAATGCTCACAAATTGGTACGTTTTATTAGTGTTTTGCCTATATTCTGTAATGACTAGGTGTTCTTAATGTCATGACAGAAATATAACTTAATCTATTTTTCTTATGGATTTGTTTCTATCATCTCACATTTTCTTTTTTTAAAGCAAGATGTCTTTCCTTTTTATCTAATTTTATATGCTGCTAAATGTATTTTAAATACACTGTTTTGCAAACCTTGGCAGTTACTTTGGGAACTGAACCACGTGTATTGGAAAAAGCTATGTAAATAGATGGTTGTACAAAGAAAATATCTTATCTTGTGCCTGTATGACTTTTAAAGCTCTTAGAATGTGGATATTGAGGGAGGATGTATAATTTACCCAACTGCTCTGAATATTAATTTGTAAATTCTGCAGATTTTAAAAATTTATGTAGGTTCAGATATAGCGTTTGGATATCGAGTTTTTTTCGTTGTTTGTTTTGTTTTGTTTGTTTCCAGAAAATATCAGTCTGTAAATTATAGCTTACGTAGGTAACACATAAATAAAGATGTGACTGTGAACTGCTTCTCTTTTGCCTTTTTCATCACACTTCCTTAACAAAAATTGCGCTTCCTTTGCAAAGGCCCCGAATGTAAAATGCCCAGTTTCAGACAATGCAGTAGAGTGGCTTGCTGAGTAAGGCAGCCCGCGCGTGGTTCTGGTACCCCGCCCCTGCGTTCTTGTTGGCCGTTATTTTCATTTGATAGTACTTAGGAACCCCAGTAGGATTCCCTCATCCCAAGCACAGCGCAGCACAGACTTAAAATGAAGCAGATGGCTCCTCTTCCTAAGAGATGACAGTTCTTACCTTATTACACATGGTCTGTCAAACAAAGAAAAGTTCAGATGCCTCTCACTGATCTTTGAGGAACTATTTCCTTCTCAGCTCAGCTTGAAAGGGGCTGGAAATGCATACTGCTTGCGATTTGGGGTTACTGTGTTATTCCAAGTTTTAGCAGAAATGAGTAATGATACACATTGGTAAGAAACAACGGGTAGGTTAGTGACAATAAACAGCAGCAATACCGATTAGTGTTTATCGACCATGCTTTGTGGCTGGCTGCTCAAGGGGTGTACACACAGAAGATTTGGGAGCATATCACAACTTTGAGCAGAACTTCCAGTGGAGAGTGGATTTACTTGCAAGACTCCTGCGAGAGGCTTTGTGTGCCTGGTGGAGGTCCCTGTTCTGCCTGGCCCACTGGGTAAAGGCTGCCCACTGTGCCAAGGTACGCAATGATGTCAACAGCTTGGTGACCCCTGGTTTTGGAGCTGAACACTCACGCCTGTCATCTGGGAACCTGGGGTAGTTGTGGGTTTTTTAGTGTGTGTATGTTTAAAATTCACATGAATATTGTGGTTTGCAACTGCAGGACCAAAGTCCTTACAAACCTAGGAAGTGACGACCGGCTGTCAGGCTGCCCTGCTTTGACGGACCTTACGGTGAGGGGCTGTCCTGGCAGCAGGCTGAATTGCAGGTGCTTCTCGCTGGTGATGCTTGACAGCACAGGCACTTTGTTTTACGAAGCAATCTCTTGATAGGCACCGGTCTAGCTTAGATAATGTGTGTACAGAGATTGTTGTGTGTTTTTTTTTTTCCTCCAGGAAGACATTCCACTTAAAACAGATCTTACCATTGAACACAGCTTTAGTGTTAATGGCAAGATGAAAGTTCTTGCCATCAAGTAGCTGAAAGAAAACTGTCATTTTGTAAAGGTCACGGTATCAGCGTCTTGTTCTAATGGAGAATTCTTCAACTGTTTGTTTTTGTCCAAACTTTTCATTTGCACTACAAAGCTACATATGTGACAAAAGATAATATGAAATCAGAAAAAGGTGAGCACTGGACTCCAATTGTCTGAAGATGTTTGTTTAAAAAAAAAAATGAAGGTGGTCTCTGAAAAATTTATTTTCTAAGAAGTCATGGGAAAATAATGTTCTCTCTCTCAGCTGGGCTTTGGAAGTTGAGCAAAGTTTGTGAACAAGTTACTGACCACATCTCATCTTATCTGCTTAGATACACTCTTAAATACAGGCAAGGTCATGTGTTATAATTAATTTCGTGTACGATACGAATGCTGAGAAAATATTTGCAGTGTTTCTTACTACGTATTGGAACAAGTGCTTATTGTGCCCTTGGCTTGTATAAAATGTTCCATGCTGCCTGCAGAAATCTGCCTTCAACCATGGAGAGGATCAGGAGCCTGTGTTTCCTGGCCGTTGTGCTAGCAGGTAAATGAGTGGCACTCGTATTTTTGTCCTAGGCTTCAAAAGCAAGGTGTAAATGGGATAGCAGAAGGGCTATTAGGGGAGGTGATAATTTTGTGTGGGAGAGGAGAGAACGGGCATGGCGATCGCTCCACCTGAGGTGACTCCGTGGGAAGACAACAGGGCTGGGCTGCTTAGAAACATATCCCGGTCTGCCCGTATTCAGCTCTTGGGCACAAGCACAGACACACTGGAGTCGATGGGACCATTCAGATGCTGAAAGTTCCCTCTGCTTTGCTCGTTTATTTTTGGTGATTTTTACCCCAGTATACCAGAGGTTACTCTAGTCCAGAGTCTACTAAAGGGAGAATACATCTTATGTTGCTAGGTAAAGGAAGAGGGAGCCTCTGCAGGAAATGCCTTTGAAATGTAGGGATGAACCCCAACTGTAAAGACTAATACTATTAGATTAAAAGGTGTGTGATAATACTTTAGTTTCTTGCTTATGCCTTATTGCAGCATTTTCTAATCTAATTCACAAAATTGAAGTCAAGGTTTTTAAAAATTAATAGGGATAACTTTCACATACACCTTTCAAACTACCTTGCTTTAGCTTCTGTTCCCATGGAAATTATCGTGGAAAAGCAGCAAGTAGCCATAGCTGTTGCTAGATTCAGCTGCTCGTTGCATTTCATATTCCATGTATGTTTACAGACATGGGCCATAAATGCAGTGAAGGTGATGGAGAGATTTTTAAATTAAAATGTTCTTAAAAAGCAGGGAAGAAAAATTGCATCTTCCTACTTCCTACTACCCCATGTCTACTGTGATAGAAGTAAACCCACGAACAAGGGATGAATGACTTTTCAGCCTTGTTCAGCTGCTCATGCCTGCAAAGGCTGGTTTTCAAAATTTGCTGGGAAATTTAAGTTTCGTATTGATTGGAGGAGGGGGGCAGGAATTAAAGAAGTTTCTTGGCTCCTGCTGGGACAAATTTTTTTCCCTTGAACTAGCTTTTTCATTCACAATATCCTTCTTATGAAGTACTTTGAAAGTATTTTATTATATAAATGAGCTGATAAGTCTGCCATGAACCTATGCTATGTAAAATGATGCTGTTAATAATCTGCTGTAATATGTTCAGTCATATTCTTTGATTTCAGCAATGAAAACACTGATGCCACATTTAAATCTCATTAGAAAAAAAAAAACCAAAACCTAAGTGAAATGGATTTACTCTATTTTGTGCTAATGCCACATTTAAATCTCATTAGAAAAAAAAACCCAAAACCTAAGTGAAACGGATTTACTCTATTTTGTGCTGACAAGGTGTTGACTCAAACTTGCAAAGCACAGCAGTGCAAAGCTGCTGGACACAGAAGCCGTGCAATGACTGCAGAGGAGGTGGTTGGTACGGATTTTTTTTTAGCCTCTGTGGTTGCAGAGGTTGAGGGCTACAGGAAGCCTTTGAAATCCTTCCACCTCCCTCAGTAAGCAGGAGTATTCTGTGCGTAGCGATCCGAAGGCAGGGCGGTTATTTCCAGGGGACGTGCAATCTGGCTGGCTGTCCCACAGCTGCAGCAGGGATACAGTACGAAAAGGGAAGGCCTTGCCCACCCAGCCCCGAGTCTTCAGGATTTCTGTGAATCCTTCCTGATTTCTGCTTCAAGAAGAAATTATTTAGGGATTGCAGAGGGTCATTCATATTCCTGTTATGCTTTGGATGAAAGAGAGGATCAGAATTTAGGGCTTTCCTATGTGACGGATCATGGGGGTGGATGCTGGACAGAAAGCAGCCAGCCTGTGGGGCGTGACTGTCCACCCAGGAACAAAGGTGGAAGCCCAACCTGCCTCTCTGGCAGCTGGCAAAGGTGAAGAGGATTTCACCTCTTAATCCCTGCCTCTAGAAGGTGATAGAGGTGGTGTGGCAGCGAGGAGTGAGCTCTGCTGCGCATCCTGGGAGATCCCTGAGCGGCAGATGCTCCTGCATCAAAGGGGGGTGAGAGTTTTCTCAAAAGGCAAAGCAGATGGCACTCAGCTCCTGCTTTTTTGCATTCCCATCCCCTGCTTGGAAGTCAGCTTTGGCATTGCAGCGTGATGGCATTTTGTAGTGAAGCTACAGTTTTGTTCTGTAAATTTTCCCAGTATGTATAATTATTGCTTGTGCACATCTTATTGTAAAGTTCTTTATACAGAGAAGCCCAGACTGCATCAGCAATCATGTTTTAAGCTTTCAAGCACACAAGAGTCCACATGAAAAAAAAATAAATTAAAGCAGAGGTATTAGTCATTTTATGGAAAAGAGCAATTATCATTCAAGAAGATTTAATTTTTGAATATTGCTGTAATGACTAAAGTGACATAAGTTAACTTCAAAAAAAGTATGCTGCCTGCAGTACGCCTGCTCTCTTTAAGAATATTTGGTAACAGAGTGTTTTGTCAGCATGGCAGGGAGCTGATCTCACAGTCCCCCTGCTGTCAGGAGGGTCGCTGGGCACAGGGGAACCACAGGGCTGGACCTGCAGCTGCAGAAAGGAAAAGATTTAGCACCTTACTAAGAGGTTTTTGTCAGGATGATTCTGTGAATGACGAATTTGTGCCTTTTCTTTTACTGCTGGCATCTCCCCTTTACTTATAACTGTACGTGTAATAACACAAACTACCAATACGACATATATGTAGTAGTCATAAAATATAGAAATGAAACCAAATATAAATATAATCAATATTTTTATATATTTATATATATTGTACAGGTGCATCCTGATTTCACTTGTTTGCATCTATATATTTATAGATAACCTCTGTGTATAATGTGAGAGAGAACAAATATACAGAAAATGTAGCATTTTACTATCAATAACAGCTTTAGTCCTTATTGAAGCACACCTCCTATTCAGCTAGCCTGAAGTGTTGCTCTCACGCCTCACCAGCAGTTTCATTAGCCTGCTACTTATCTTTCTGTGAGGATTTCAAGCAAGTCATGCTTCAGCTGTGCAACAGCAGCTCTGAGCACTGAACAATACAGACCCACTGCCTCGGCTTGTAAAAGAAGCTGGTTGTTCTTGTCTTGGTCACGAGCAGGCATACTGCTCTGCTGTCATCTCAGCCAAAAGAATTGTGCGTATTAGCCTCAAAATGGGGAAAAAACACAACAGAAAAAGAATAAATAAAGAAATTTGCATTGTTGTGGGTTTTTTTGAATGTGGTTCTCTGCTGCTCTGACTCCATTTCCCCGTGTCCAGCAATAGGCGGGTGCCTCGGCTCAGGCCAGGACGGGCAGTGCGCTGGGGCCGTGCCGGTGCGGAGGCGCATCGACTGCCACCCGCAGCCGGGCGCTTCCCAGGAGGCCTGCGAGGCACGGGGCTGCACCTGGTGCGCCACCGACGTGGCCAATGCTCCCTGGTGCTTCTTCCCTGAGGACAGTCCCTACGGCTACTCCCTGGCCGGGAGCACGGAGCAGACAGCCAAAGGCTGGAGGTAAGCGCGCGCGGCCCCTCCGGTGCTGCCCTCCAGCTCTGCACCGCAACCACCGCTGCTGCCCGGGGGGCAGCTCGCCGGAGACCTTCCCCAAGCTGCTTTGCTACCACGTGCTCAGCTTGTGATGATAAGGACGATGGATGTATTTCCCTATGTATAAGCCATGCAGAGTTGGCGTCCTCCGCTCGGTGGTCCTTCCCACCCTGGGAGCTGTGTCCCAGGAGACCGCAAGGTCTCCGTTCTTCAGTAGCACCTATTGTATCCATTAACGGCAAGGAGAGCCTAAGCTAACCTCAGAGATTATTTGTCTCCATAAGTCAATGATTTATTTTTAAAGAGCTGAATTGTTCCCCCCCCCCCCCGCCACGGTAGTGGCAGGCAGTGAGCAGTTGCGGTGAGCACCAGTACGTGTTTCCACTGCAGGGTAACGCTGAACAAGCGCCAGGCCCTGTCCCTCTTCGGAAATGACATTTCCCCAGTCGTCTTGGAAGTGGAGTTCCAGACAAGGGACAGACTCCGGTTCAGGGTGAGTATTTGGGCGGAGGAGGCAGAATCATTTAACCAAAGGAGTGCGTGCTAACAAATGAGCTAACCTGCCTCCTCCTCACCTTGCTTTAGCTCTATGACCCCAACAGACAGCGGTTTGAAGTCCCACTCAAGATCGACTCCCCTGGGGTCACCGCTGATGAGGCCAGCTACGATGTGGAGTTTGCGGATGACTCCTCGCACCTCAGGATCAAGAGGAAAAGCACCGGCACTGTGCTGTGAGTACCAGATGTCATTCATGTTGCCTTTTGCAGAAATTAAGTGCAGCAGGGAAAGCACTGTTTCCTCATACCCTATTGCTTGGGTCTGTGACACAGGCTCAAGCACAAACTGGATGTGGCATAAGTATAGATTTATGCCTTGATCCTAGAAAACACTCATTATTAATAGGAGTATGTACCTGTATAACAGACAATTATCTACGTGCACGTATGAAAAGTTATTCAGCAAGTCAAATAACTTGTGAGGCTACAATTTCACAGCTTGGAATGCTGGTAGACTCAACTCATGAAAGCACTGAACTAAGATTTCTGAAGTTCTGGGTGT